TTAGATTAAGTTGTAAGCATCATATCTGTCATATTACTTCATAAAAACATATTTATAAACTATGTGTAAGGTTTGGATGCAGATGATCTTTCCTTAATCTCGTGTGCAAGCCTCTGAAATGAACAACAAGCAATCCAAAAGTACAAACAACTCATTCTTCCTTGCCACGCGTTGATGATCTCGCCCCCGTGTCAGTATTTTGCTTCACAAAACTCACAAAACTCACAAGAAATTGATCTAGGATTTTTGAACGGGGAGGGTAGCTGCTAGGGTTCAAAGATATCATAAAAGAGAAGAATTTTCATGAAAAACACAGGTATTTATAGAGGAAAACCCGAAACAATCACGTTTGACCCGAACCAGGAAACCTAGTCTGACTAGAAAAACCACCTTCGGTATTTTGGCTGTAACTTTCTCATCTAATCTTGGAATGAGGTGTTTTAAGATTTGTTAAAAATCTGTTAAAGAGACCTATAACCTTTGTCTTTTGAGTTTTTCTATATTCGAATTGAATCGGTGTGTAAAACACGTATACTCTTAACTGGTCGTTCTTCCAGATTTCAGTCTTGTGTATATAGTGCATGATTTCACTCCTACATTCACATATATACATTGAATTGATCTCAAATTAATTTCTAGCATACTCAAAACATCAATAAATGTTATTTATCACTATATAACACATTTATTATTATTTATCACCATATTTTTAAATTCACGGGGTTTTACAAATTAACCACAAGTGAAAGTGACGATAAAGCTGGTGGCTTGTTTGTTTGAGGAAGATCAGAAAAAAAGGGGCTTTGGAGGTAACAGGTGTTTGCGTCAAAAATTAATATATTCATTGCGGTATTCATTATAACTTTAGTCGTTACAATGAAAACAAAAAGATTGTCTTTTTATAAGACTTTTACACAATGAAAACAAAAGTTATAACTCTCGTCAAAACAAACGCAGGGAGATCGTTTATCGGTCTTCTGCTTCCGTGGGATCTTTGCCTGTGCCGGGGTTTATCCGTGGACCGCCTTTGATCTGGATCCGGTTGATGAAAAATGGGCAGAGCTTCGCCTTCACCGAGGGAGTGTTTGATTTGAAGCGCTAAAATCGACCAAGCGAAATCAGGGCTCTTCTCGAGATTAAGACCAAGCCTAATCTCAAGGGACGGACGGACGGGGTTCAGATCCTTCGAATAACTCCTTCTTTATGCCGAAGGTTGTCGAGATCTGATTTTCCTTCGCTGAAATTCGTGTTCCTTGACTCCTCAATCAAGCAGCACCTCCACGTCTTGATAATAATTCGTCCCCCGCTGAAAGGAGGCCCTAGGCTTATATTTATAGGGCTCCGGATGCGGGTTTGTGGATGAGAATGAGTGATTTGGCCTTATCTTCAGTTAATAACTGATTAACCACGTTTGGGGATGATATCTAGGCAGTTATGAACCTCTGGAACAGAAGAAACACCGATCAAAACAGCCTAAAAACGCGTTTTGGAGGTTACGGGTAGTTCTGGGCACGAGACGGACTGATGTGACCCGCGTGGGCGCGGGTCGGATGGATCCGACCCGCCGCCGCGCGGGTCGGACTGATCCGACCCGCCACCGCGGGTCAGTTTGAGACATCTTCGGTATTTTGGGCTTAACTCTTTCATACGACCTCCGATTAAGCTGATTCAAGATGCGTTGGAAAAGTGACGAAGAGATCTACAATTTTCATGTTTTGAGATTTTTCAGATTCAAATCGAAGCATAGTCAAAACTTCACTTCTTTGTACGGTCGGATCACTGTATCCGACCCGCGGTACTGTAGCACCCAGTCCGATCCGCGGTTAATGTAGCACCCAGTCCGACCCGCGGTTACTGCAGCACCCAGTCCGACCCGCATTACTGTAGCACCCAGTCCGACCCGCATTACTGTAGCACCCAGTCCGACCCCGTGTTACTGTAGCAGAATTTCGACCCGCGGTTACTGTAACAGCCTTAACTCACTCATCCGACCTCGGAATGAGGCGATTCAAGATGTGTTGGAAATCCAACGAGGATATCTACAGGCTCCCATGATTAAATCATATGTGGAATAAATGGGACACGAGGGGTGCTCTATCTTTTGTAAACGACGTGGGGTTCCCGATCAGCTCTCGTTTCCGTTATTTCGAAGTTCTGTTGCTTCGTATGACCCGTCGACTCGCTTCATGTGTTTGTCGAGCTTCTGTGAGTCTAATAATGATGTTTATCATCTTTTCTCTATCTTGAGCCGTGTGCGGACACCCATAGGCATTTTTAGACGCCTACAACAGGTATAAGTCGAAACACAGGAACCTGACCTGTAGATATTGGAAAAGGAAAGGGCACATCAAGATCGATTGTTACAGATTGAAGAACAAAAATAAACAAGAAGGGTATGAAGAAAAATCAAAGAAGGACTCCGCTGAAGTTGATATTGCTGAAGATGTGATTTTGTTGGCAGGAGCATGGATGATTGGATTTTGGATTCGGGTTGTTCCTATCATATATGTCCTAATCGGGACTGGTTCACCACTTATGAAACTATTGATGGTGGAGTTGTTCTTATGGGGAACAAAGCCTCATGCAAGACTATTAGGAAATGCACAATTCGGATTAAGATGCATGATGGAGTCATCAAGACTTTGACAGATGTTAGGCATGTTCCGAGTTTAGGAAGAATCTCATATCTTTGGGCACTCTTGATAGCATTGTGTGTAATTTTTTAGGTAAAGGTGGAGTTCTTAGGGTTACAAAAGGCTCTCTTGTGGTTATGAAAGAAAAGAAAATCAGCAGCTTGTATGTTTTATATGGTTCTACAGTTACCAGTTCGGTTGTAGTTGCATCGTCGATGTCAGGAGTTGATACTACCGGATTATGGCATATGAGACTTGGTCATACAAGTGAGCGCGGATTGACCGAGTTGAGTAAGAAAGGACTTTTATGTTAACAGAGTACATGAAAATTAGGATTTTGCGAGCATTACATCTAGAAAGCAGAAAAGAGTCAGGTTCAGTACGATAGTGCATCAGACTAAATGTACTTTGGATTATATTCATTCAGATCTTTGGGGACCTTCTCAAGTTACCTCGAGAGGTGGTAGTTCCAGATATTTGTTGACCTTTATTGATGACTATTCCAGGAAGGTTTGGGTCTACTTTTTGAAATATAAATATGAGGTGTTTGTGACTTTCAAGCAACGAAAGTCTTTGACTAAGAAGCAGACTAGGAGGCTGATTAAGAGGCTTAGAACTAATAATGACCTTGAGTTTTGTGGAGGAGAATTTAATGAGTTCTGTAAGAAGGAGGGAATCGTTAGACATCGTACAGTCCCTCGCACACCGCAACAGAATAGAGTGGCAGAACGTATGAACAGAACCCTATTAGAGAAAGCTCGTTGTATGATGTTCAATGCAGGTTTAGGCAAGGAATATTAGGTGAAAATTGTGAATACGGCTTGTTACTTAGTGAATCGGTCGCCAGCTACTGCTATTAGTTGTAAAACTCTAGAGGATGTTTGGTCCGGTAAGCCTGTGGATGATTCTAATATTAGAATATTTGGTTGTCCTGCATATGTGCATGTTAGTCAAGGGAAACTTGAGCCGCGAGTGAAGAAGTGCATATTCCTAGGTTATGCATCGGATGTTAAGGGTTTTAAGTTATGATGTCCTAATCCGAAGTCTCCTAAGATTATTACTAGTCGTGATGTTACTTTTGATGAATCTGCTATGTTCCATCAAAAATGGTTATCGATTTTAGTTGTTGATAAGGCGCGCACTACAGGCCATAAGGTGGAGTTAGAAATTCGTGATTCAGCTTTTCAGCAATATAAGACTACGGGAGTTCAACAGTCAGATTCCGTTCAAGTAGATGAAGAACCTCAGCAGCTGCTGAAAGAGCAGGAATACACTATTGTTAGAGATCGATCTAGACGAGATATCTGACCACCACGAATATATAAAGATATAGTATCTTATGCATTGTTGGTTGACAATTTTGTGCCCTTCAGCAATTCAGGAGCTACTTCAGGTGATGATTTCGCTAATATTTACGGTCGTCGTGCGGACAATTCAGTCGATTTGTTGAGGAGGTCTCTTTCATTTAGCAAGTTCAAGTCGGGCTTGGACTTGATCGATATCTGCCGCACTTAAATCCCTACGGGGCTATTGGAAAAGGTGGAGTGAGTTAGCTTATTTTGGAGTGAGGAATCTTCTACGCATTTGAGTTAAGGAGGAGATTTGTTATAGGTTGCCTTAAATACTCAAATCCATATTGCTTTTTTTTTGGGGGGGGGGGGGGCAGGTTGGTTTGTTTTGATCAAGAGTCCTACTTACATTAGGCTTTGCACAACCAATCATATTAGAGGTTTATTTCTACTTGGACTATTATTGGGTTTTAGGACATGTGGACTTCTATTCCTATTAGAACTATTATTCCTTAGACAGCAAGGAGATGGGATCTTCAAGGCTATATAAGAATAGTCTTTCAAACCAATACTTAAGCATCAATCTTCAGAGCACCAATCAAGAAGAGAGAGTTCTTTTGTGAAGCCTATTTGATATTCTTCTCTTTTATTTTATTTTTTTTAGTTGAGAGTTGTATTAGGCTTTTGGGGTGTGATTTAGGATTGAGTGATTGAGAGATTCCACTTTGTATTCCTCACAATTAGTAAAGCTTTTCTCCTCCTTCGCCTGTGGACGTAGGCTACAAGCCGAACCACGTATATCTTTGTGTTCGTGTGTTCTTGATATTTTTCGTGATCTCGTGTGATTGATATTAGCTTATCCTGGGAAATTTATCATAACAAGATCTTTCAAAGTGGTGATTTCTGATGTAAGGTTGTCTTCTCCTCAATTGTAGTCTGATATCTCTCATGTGTCTATTGTTGTTAATCTAGTATTTGTGATCTCAATTGCTAGCCTCACTTTTCAACAACGCTATCTATTATTTGTGATCTCAAATGCTGGCCTCACTTTTCAACAACCGTGTCCAAATTATCTCCCTAGAAAATAATACCCAACATTCATTTTATCTGTCAGACTTTGATCAATGGTAATACAATCAGATTATGAAATACACAAATTTTATCACAACATCCATCATGCTTAAATGCTCCCTTTGAACTATTAGTCCATGGAACTTTTGAAGTACAAGGTAAATGAAAAATATTTTAGGCTCAAAAGGCAATCACTAAATCGCAGTCCTCCTCTCAATTAGTTCCGCAATCAAATTATCCATATCATCGTAAGACGATCCTCCCTTCTCCACTGCCTTCTTTGCCATCTCTCCGAGCTTCCTCGCTCTCATCCTCCTCTCTTCCGCCTCCTGATCTCCGCTGCCCATCAACTCGTTGATCGCTCTCTCTACCCTCGCCGCCTCTATGACCTCCCTCTCTTCAGTGTTTGGTGCATATGCTTTCATTCCAATTTCAACCCCAATTTTAAGCACATCGACAATTAACCTTTGGTTGTAGAATTGTTCGGCAAATATAGGCCATGTAATGAATGGCAAGCCTATGCTAATTCCCTCCAGAGTTGAATTCCAACCACAGTGTGTCATGTAGCCTCCAATTGATCCGTGATTCAGTATCAATATCTGTGGAGCCCATCCTTTTATAATCAGACCTTTTCCTTCAACTCGATCCTCGAATCCCTGAGGCATCCATTCTTTGTTATTCATCCTCACCACCCAAACAAATGGATGGTTTGATCTCTCAAGCCCTAATGCTATCTCTTGAAGTTGTGATGTTGTGAAATCGGTCAGACTCCCGAAACAAACGTAAACAACGGAACATGGTTTTTTGCTATCGAGCCATTTTAAGCAAAACTCAATGTCCATTGATGTCTCCTTTCCCCTTATAGACTTGTCGATGATATCCTTGTTGCATAGAGATAAAGGCCCTATGGTCCAAGCTTTTATACCCATCACGTCTCGATAATAGTCAGCATACTCTGGCTCCAACTCGTAGAAAGTGTTCATCACCGTGCCATAATTCTTCGGTTCGCACGCTTTAACCTTTTGGAATAACTCAGCCAAGGGTGGCGCCCATTTGTTGAAATCAGGTACCATAGGCCTACGCAATATGATGTTATGCGGGAGGCCAGGGACGACAAAAGACTCCTCGTCGAGCGAAAGACTCTCAAGAATCTTACTCTTCGCAATGCTATCTGAGACACATTGCGAAAAGAAATTTGACCCGTGAAAGAGGAGCCTTGGTATCCCGTGCTCCTCCGCCACATCAGCGGTCCACGGGAAGAACATATCAGTCACAAGACAATCGGGAAGGGTTTGTTTGAGGATATTACCAAATGGCTCTCCTAGGCCCTCGAAACATCTAACGAACTGAAAATGCAAGTCCTGCGGAACGGAGGATAGGTTTTCGCACCCTTTAGGTAGACCATCCACACTTGGGAAGGGAACAAGGAGAATCTCGATAGGATAACGGTATCCAGACTCGTTGGCACGATCAATGGATGGTTGGATTTGAGGAACATTGCCAGGGGTGGTGAGGATGGTGGCCTTCACCCCGTGGGCGGCAAAGAGCTTCACCATATCAACCATGGGAAGCATATGGCCCGGGGCCATGAGGGGAAAGAAGAGGATGCGAAGGGCGCGAGCTTCGGAGCCCATCAAAAAGACTTGGAAAGAAAAAAAAAATATGAAAGATTTGAGAGCAACGAAGAAGGCACAATCTCTCAAACAGTCTTATGTAACTTTGAGTGTGAAGATAAAATGAGGAGGGCTCGTTTATGTACAGACTAGGAGTCGGGGCTGAAAATGTTCCATCTTTCATAGCCGTCATTGCTAACGTAGGGATTAATTGTCTTGTATCCCTCAAATTTGGTCTCATAAGGTAAGCGACGTATGTAGTTTTGTCTTGTGTTGGAGTCGGTAGTTTCTCTAGAACGAACACCCTCTGATATCAAAACTTAGCCTCAATCTTCACTCACCTTATCCTCCTTCACTCATCACCTTATCCAAATTACGCTCCACAAAATAATGAAGGAAATTCTTTTTATCGTTGAGGAGTTAAATTTGAACTAGGCTAGTTATTGTTAGAAGATACTTTGTAATTCTAGAAAACTCTAGGATATTTGTAAAAAAGTATGTAAAGTAGAAATATCTAGAATAATCTAGGAAGAAAATATATTAAGCATGGATGTATGTAGAATTATATAGAATTCTCTAGAATTTTGATGTATAATGAAAAATCTAAATATTCTAGAGAATTCCTTGAGAGCCTATAAATAGCCTTGAATGTAAGCTTTGTAATTAAGCTTTGAAACAATTCATACAAAGTTTCTTCAAGTTCTTAGCATCTTCTCATTTTCCCTCCTATTTCCTCCATTCTCAATCCATCCCGCTTCCTCAACTACAACAAATTTAGTATCAGAGCCATCCTTTTCCCCCTCAAATCAATCTTGAAAGCATTTAGCCTTTCACTACCATTCTAAATGGCAGCCTCATCAGCAATTGCCCCTTCTCTTTTCAATTACTTTCAAAACTTAGTCCCCATTTTCGACGGCGAAAACTATGACTTCTGGAGCCTCCAAATAAAGACACTCTTCATCTCTCAAGAACTTTGGGAGTGTTGGGGATTCGAAACAATCAATCGAACACTTACCTTTCCGGACCTTGTGTTAAAAGTAGGAAAGTAGGAATAATACCACAAATAAAGATCTAACCTTGCAAAAATAATAAAGGAGACGAACACACAGATTTAACGAGGATCGGCAACATGCCTACGTCCTCAGGAGCCACACCACAAAATCTCTTTATTAATTGAAGAAGAATTACAAGCTCTCAAACTAGGGTTTAATCTCTCTGAGATTCTCTCTCTTTCTATCGTCAAAAACTCTCTTTCTTCGTGCTTTTTAACCTTAAAAACGTTTAAGGTATATATAGAGTCCTGGAGAAAACAGAATCCAAAATAGTTTAGGAAACTGTTTGACTGCGTCGTGGTCGACCGCGGCGGTCGACTGCGCAGCGCTCTCGCCGGTCGGACCGCGACGGATCAGACCTGTTCGTCAAACGACAGAAAACTCCCAGATTTTCCAGAGAGTTTGAGCGGCGACCGCTGCGAGGTCGCCGAACCAAAAACCCGAGACCAAAATCTACAGGGCTTGGCTATGCGGGCCGCCGCGGACCGACCCGCGTTCATACCGTCACCTGCGTTTCGACCGCCCGCGGCTCGACCGCTCTTCAGCTTCAGCATCCCTCCCAAACTCTTGTGCACGTTGCAGCGGTCGGACCGGGTCGCCCGGTGCGCACCGGACCTGGATTCTGTCTGCTTGTTTCTTGTCGTTTTGATTCCAGCTCTTGTCTCGACTTTGGGTCTACACCTTAAACTAACAATCTCCCATTTGGAGACCAAAGTGTCTGCAGTGAGTTCACCCGAACTCTCCCCTTCTTCGCATGTATCTTCTCCCCCCGGGAAAAATTCTTTCTTCAATCAACAATATCCCGGCGATCGTGTCGATCCTTGTAGTGTGGCTCCGCCTTCGTCTTCTACTCGTGAAGGCCAACTAAAGTTGCGCACAACTCCAGTTTCTCAATGGTGACTGCCTTCGTCAACATGTTCGACGGATTTTAACTCCCCAAAATCTTCATTAAATGCAACTTTCCGTCTTCAACTAGCGAGCGTATAAAATGGTATTTGACGTCGATGTGCTTCGTTCTGGTATGATATACTGGATTCTTGGTAAGATGTATAGCGCTCTGGCTATCACAATAAAGAACTCCTCTCCCTTGATTCAGATCCAACTCTTCCAAGCACCCGTTCAACCAGATCATCTTCTTGCTTGCTTCAGTCACTGCGACATACTAGCCTCGGTTGTAGATAAAGTCACAATCTTCTACAGACGTGAGACTCAGCTCACTGCTGTCGACGCTAAGGTATAAACATACCCCGTGGTGCTTCGCCTCATATCATGATCACCGGCGAAGTCCGCATCCACGTATCCCTGCAATACCAACTCTTTCCTCCTGAAACATAATAGCTTGTTCGTTGTCCCTCTCAAGTACAACATTATCCACTTCACGGCCTCCCAATACTGCTTCACTAGGTTGCTTGCAAATCTGCTCACAACTCTCACTGCATGGGCGATGTCTGGCCTCGTGCAAACCATCGCGTACATGAGACTCTCAATGGCCGAAGAATATGGCACCCTGCTCATATGCTCTCTATCTGCAACTGTCTTAGGCGATTGCTCCTCAGATAGCTTGAACTGACCTCCAATGGGTGTGCTAACAACTTTAGCATTCTGCATGTTGAACCTCTGAAGTACTTTCTTAATGTATTCAGCTTGGCTCAATCTTAATGTCACTTCAGCTTCATCCCTACTGATTCGTATCCCTAGAATCTGTTTCGCTGCACCCAGATCCTTCATTGCAAATTCCTTTGCTAGCTGCTTCTTCAAACTGTTAATCTCCTCCAAACACTGTCCTGCTACCAACATGTCATCAACATACAATAACAAAATAATAAAGCTGAACTCGAACCTTTTGAAATAACAGTAATGATCCGAATTGCATCTTCTATAGCCATTGTTCTGCATGAAGTTATCAAACTTCTTATACCACTGTCTCGGAGCCTGTTTCAAACCATATAAGCTCTTCTTGAGCTTGCACACCATCTCTTCCTTTCCTTTTTCAATGAAACCAATAGGCTGCTTCATGTAGATTTCTTCATCCAAGTCACCATGAAGAAAAGTAGTCTTCACATCTAACTGCTCAAGAAAGAGGTCTTCTGCAGCCACCAAACTCAACACCACTCTGATGGTTGTGAGTTTCACAACGGGGGAAAATATCTACGTGTAGTCCACTCCTTCCCGCTATTGAAACCCCTTTACTACTAATCTGACCTTGAATCTCTTGCTTCCATCACTCTCTTGCTTGACCCAGTGACCCATTTGTTATGTAAGGCCTTCTTCTGTGCAGGTAGCTGGGATAACTCCCAGGTCTCATTAGTGAGTAGAGAATCCATCTCCTCTTGCATTGCATACTCCCATGCTGAGATTCACTCACTTGCATTGCCTCTTCATAGCTTTCCAGCTCACCGCTATCTGTCAATAATAAATAGTCAAGAGATAAAAGATATTTAGGATTTGGTTTGGATACCCTGGATGACCTCCTAAGCTCCACGCCCTGGATAGTTTCTTCTGCACCTGGAGCCTCATCCGTTCTGTGGTCAGAACAAACATCATCTCCCCTGTCTGGAAGTTTCTCTATATCCATGTACTCAGATCCATCTGTATCTGAAATGCTACTCCCACTGCTTTGGCTATCCTTGGCATCTTCCTTGTTCTTGTACATCACATCTTCATTGAATATCACGTCTCTGCTTCTGATAATCTTCCTGTTCTTCTCATCCTAAAGACGATACTCGAACTCATCAATGTCGTATCCAATGAATGTGTACTTCTGTGACTTAGCTTCTAGCTTATCCCTGACATGATCACTGATATGAACATAAGCCACGCAACCAAATACCCACAAGTGTGAGAGATTTATCTTCTTGCCACTCAAAATCTCCTCTGGAATCCCAAAATCTAATGGAACTAATGTCCCGTGATTAATAAGGTAGGCTGTTGTATGCACTGCATCCGCCCAAAATATCTTAGGCAGACCTGCATATAACCGCATGCTCCTGACATGCTTTGTCAAGGTCCTGTTCATCCTCTCTGTAATGTCGTTCTGCTGCGGTGTCCCTGGAGTAGTCCTCTCTAACCGAATATCATTCATAGTACAGAACCTCTTGAACTCCTCCAGCTCATATTCTCCACCATTATCTGATCTCAGACACTTCACCTTCAGATCTATCTCATTCTCCACCATGGCCTTCCACTTCTTGAAGATTCCAAACACCTCTGACTTGGTAGATCCACACCTTTCTCGAGTGATCGTCGATGAAGGTTACATAATATCTCGAACCGCCAAAAGAAGACATACTGGCTGGACCACATACATCTGTATGAATCAACTCTAGCTTCTGAGCCTTAGGTGGCCTTCCACCCTTCTGAAAACTAACCCTCTTCTGCTTCCCAAAGATATAGTCTTCAAAAACCCCGACTTTCACGGCGTTGATCCCGGTTAGCTTTCCTTGTGAATGCAAAATCTTCATCCCCTTTTCGCTCATGTGCCCTAGCCTGTTGTGCCACAGATTTGTACTCTCTTTGCCAGCTGTAATTACGAGGGTGTCACTTGCATGTAAGGTAAGGTAGAGAGTTTCTAGTTTGTTGTCTCGAGCAACTATCATCGTACCGTTAGAGATCCTCCACAAATCCCCAGTGAATGTCGAAACATAGCCTTCTGCTCCAAGCTGTCCCACCAAAACAAGATTCCTCTACAGCTTCGGCACGTATCTCACGTTCTTCAAAGTCCACTTAGAGCCCTTCATCTGAATCTGCACTTCACCCTTTCCAACAATATTACAGGGCTCATTATTCTCTAGATATACTTTTTCAAAGTCCTCTGCTATATAATTCTGAAATAGCTTCCTGTTAGCAGTGGTGTGGAAAGAGGCTCCTGAATCGATGACTCAAGAATCCGAATCGCTGTCCATTGCAAGAATCAAGGCATCCTGCACGATATGAGCCTCCTGCTCACCCGCATTCTTTTTTGGACTTTTGCATACTGAAGACATATGGCCCTCCTGGCCGCAGTTCCAACACTTTCCTTTGATAGGCCTAACCTTCGAGTTCGCTGGCCGCAGTTCCAACACTTTCCTTTGATAGGCCTAACCTTCGAGTTCGACCTCTTCTTTACTGATTTTGACCGATTCCTC